TTGAATTACATTTAGTGGCATTGAATTGAATCATGTTGAATAGTGTTGATTATATTGAATTGTGTTGATTATGTTGAATTGTGTTGAATTAAGTTGAGTTGTGTTGGGTTGTATTGAGTTTGGGTTGATATAAGGGGAGTTTGCCCCAATTGGATTAAATTGTTATTTTGTATAAATAATTGAAATTGTCATTGTAAATGTGAAATCGGAGGATTATTAATGATGATGGTGGAGCTTGATATGCATTGTCACTCCCATATGAGATTTTGGAAAAGCATATCATTAAAGGAATTTATTTATCGGTTTAGATATATTTGTTTTGGACTATCGGTGGAGGATAGCTATGATTGTTATAGAAATTGCATGTTGACTAGGCAAACCAAACTATTCATAAATCATGCATATCATGGAGCATACAATGGATTTTGGGGATTTAAATTGTATGTTTTGGAAAAATATTTTGAAAATTCTTGTGCTATGTTTTTAGTGCACTTGTTTCATTATGAAAATCATGTTTTGGATCAGATGTATTGTGCTAGTTGAAAATAGTAAATAATATGATAAGTTTGAGAAATGGTTGTCATTGAATATGACTGTGTGTTTTAATACATTGTATATGTATGATTATTTGGGAGGAGAAAGGAGATGTACTCCATGTGTGATTATGTGGTTAAATATATTGTATATGTATGTTTGTTTAGGAGGAGAAAGGGGATGGACTCCACTGTTTGGGAGGAGAAAGTGGATGGACTCCATTATAACTAAGTTGGTCGCAGTGTCTTGGGTGAAAGTTTCGAAATTTATACATGGGTGCCGATCCCGCAGACGAAATTTTCGTAAAATGGCAGTTGGAAGTGTTTATGTGTGTTGTGTATGATTGGAAAACCACTGAGTTGTAGCCTCAGTTTGGTTGTTGAAAGATAATGAAATTGACTCATGAATTGAGAAGAATAAATGAACTGAAAATGAACTAAAGGAAAAAGGATTAAGCATTGAAATTGGCATCACGTGGGTAAGTGGATTAGGGGCTAGTGATGATGAACTCAATGGATTGCTTGTGACAAAAGGGAAGATTAGGAGTATTGTCTTGTAAGTAATTGGGAAATTGAATTAAAAAGGGGTTTGTGATTCTTGTGGCATGTTGAACTCTAATCCTTTGGATTTTGATGTTATGGAGTATGGTAATTGGAAATGGAAATGAAATGTGTAATATTAGAATGGAAATGAAATGTGGAATATTAAAATGGAAACGAAATGAGGGATAATTTGGAATTGAGTTGATAAATTTAAGATAATGTTCTTCCCTAAGTGTACCTGTTTTCAAAATGAATCTGTGGATTCCTAATGATGAGAGACTACATTTATGGCAGGGAGTTTTCTTAAAGGTCCAAGTGAAATTATAAGAAAAGGTACTTTCCGTATAATGTTTTGAACTTACAAAATGTCATCTTACTATATGGTATCACCTTGCATGCATGATCATTTCTATCTATGTGTTAGTTATTGATTGAGAACTATGAGATTCCTACTGGGCATTAATGCTCACCCCGTTGTTGTTTTATCTTTTTACAGGACGGAAGTTTGGATTATTTGATTAAAGATTTATGGGGTTCTTGAGTCTTTTTGTATAACTTCATGGTAGATGTAAAGGAAGTGGATGTTGTATTTGTATTTATTTATTTGTAGCACTGTAGGAGACTGGCATGTATTTTTGTCATTGTAATATTCATTGAGAGAGAGAGAGAGAACATGTATCATTGTATTTCTATTACTCAAGTGTAATAGATATTTGTATATGTATAAAAAAATTGGACCTAAATTACAGGCTTTGGCAATATTTCTGTGTAACGCCCTCAAAATAAACCCATATCATCATACATTCACGATAAAGAAAAGGGATTTCATATTACAATCATCAGAGTATTCTTACAAAAGGTATTACATGTTGACAACAAAAGTAAATACCTTATAGGCTTACAACTTTCCAAGTTAACACTTGGTTATAAAAGGGGAGTACTAACTCTACACAAAGTAAGCCTTTGGCTTGGTATACATGTAATGCAACAAAAACAACAAAAAGTGTCTAACAGCCTCAAGCCTCCCAAGCTACGTCCTTCGAGGTGGCATAGCACTTGCACCTGAAAATGATGTCCCATATAGGGTGAGCCAACGCCCAGTAGAGATATGCTAAATATAATATGAGCAATAACTAAAACATGAGCACTTGGTAAATGTTTAACTCAGATAAATCAATTCAAGATTCATTTCAATTACATGACAAATATGTCCATGTTTCATTCCATTTTCCATTACTTATCCAGTTCTCAATTTATGAGTAAGGCTCAGAACCTGGCCAATAATTTAATGAGGTTATAACTCATATCAACAATACTTCCATACTTCACAATAGATACACATATTCGCTGTGTCAACACTTCAATAGATACACATATTTGCTGTATCAAAAACACATAAAACACTTCCATACTTCACGGTAGATACACATATTCGATGTATCAACACTTCAATAGATATAGTGGAGTCCATCCCCTATCTCCTCCCAAATAAGATCCGGTTTAGGAGTCCATCCCCTATCTTCCCCTAAACTGTGGAGTACATTCCCTTTCTCCTCTCACACAACACAATATATATAAGCATAAATCATATGCATAACTAATCAATACATAAATTTGATGTATTATTCCAACCGTCATATTCAATGGCATATTCAATTCATTAGTTTTAATTCACCTAATCATCATGCAATGTCTACAACAATCAAGACTATCCTCCACTGATAGCCCAAAACAATTATTTCTAAACAGATAATAATTATATCAACAGATAATTTGTCAACAATTTCCAAGATGAGTGATTAATAATTCCAACTCCACCATTCTATCTCATAATGAGCCAATTACATTACTTCTAACTCAATTTCATATTTCCATAATAAATGTCATTAATTACACTAATGACCCAAATATACCCAAACATGGCATTTTCCCTCTTTTTCTCAATATTGACCCAAAGGTCTAAATATTATCAACAACATCAATAACCTCCTATTTAAACCCAAAACACATATGTTTGAATCAAAATAACAAAACCCCTCTTTCCAATATAATACATCTCAAACCCTAACTTCTCAAATTAAACCATTTGTACAAAAACTCGACATTTAGGTTAAAACTCATAAAAATGAGTAGTTATCCTTACCTCAAGAGATGAAACTCAAAGGAAATGATGAAGAAATCTCGAAATGCTCCAAAACCCAAGATTTTCTGATTGATAGGATGCCCAAGCCAAGCTCTACACTCTTTGCAAAGACACTAAGGGAGTAGATGACTCAAGCTAGATCAATCCCTAGTGATAAGGTATATTCTAGAGAGAGAAGCTCTCAAAAGAGGGTTTAGAACAGTAAGAGAGAGAAAAGAAATGTGAAAAGTGATTCAAAATCACCCAGCTGCCATCTAATACACGACTATCTCGCTCGAGTGGAGAATAGGATGTTCGAGCGTCAAACACGAAAAACTGGACCCGCTCGAGCGCCAAGACACAAAATCAAAAAGCACCCGCTCGAGCGTGAAAAACGCACCTGCAGTAGTTTTGCAGAGGCACAAATGCTGAAAGTGTGTAAACTCCGCTCGAGCGCGAAGGGACCTGCTCAAGCGGACCACCAAAAATCTGGGCAACAAGGAATGGGACTAAAACTCAACCAACCTCAAAACACGCCCAATACATCCTAAAACTCAAATATATGGAAATAAAGGATGACAACAAGACATATACAACAACCAACTCCACAAAACCTAAGTCCGGGTACAACAATCAAAGAAGGAAGAACCAGAATCGCTATAACCTCCCCCCCTTAAGGAATTTCGTCCCCGAAATTAAGTACAAGTTTTTCAAAAACATGATTTCTCAATTACCAACATTATTACAATGCAAAATTCAACAACTTGACCCATTACCGGTCATTCCATCTCTATTCAAGAGGCAAACTTCCATATAGTCTCCAACATGCATTATCAACATGTATCTCAAAACATATTCAATGCCAACAATACATTTGCATTTCTAAAACATCATTAACATGTACAATGTTAAAATTAACTTCCATTTTAAGGAAAGTTCCAAAATATATTTCCATAAATCAAAACATATACAATGTTTTACAACTTAAGACATATCCCATGCTCTTAGAGTTCATCACTATTACAAAATTCCCAATACAAGATTACACGTCAACAAACATATCCAGATATTTTTCACGGACCTCCAACTCACGTTCCCAAGTGGCTTCTTCCACTCCGTGATGTTTCCACAAAACCTTTACCAAGGGAATGGTCTTGCCTCGCAAGACTTGATCCCACCTATCCAAGACCCGAATCGGTCTCTCCTCATACGAGGCATCCTCATCTACCTCCAAGTCGGTCCAATCCAAAACATGCGATGGATCCAGCTCATACTTCCAAAGCATACTAACATGAAATACGTCATGCACCCCGGACAACTGCGGCGACAAAGCCAAGCGATAAGCAACCTCCTCAATCCTCTCAAGGATCTGAAAAGGGCCAATAAACCGAGGGGACAACTTCCCACTCTTACCAAACCTCATCAAACCCCGCATTCAACTTGATGCCTTTCCAGAACATATTAGAACCGCATTCAATGAATGGCAAGTAGCTTTCAGTCACCTTCTAGTCAATAAAGAAATTTCCATGACCAAATGCATGGTTCATTTTGTAATTCGTTTCAGTATTCCATGGATTTGGAAATGGGATTTTAAATGTGATTTCTAGAATAAGGTACCCTGACTACAACTTATTTTCCTGTATAAATGGTGGGTCAAAATGGATGATCCAAAACCCAAGCAAGAATTATTACAGAAAATCAAGGAACATACACAAGCCTGCTGGGATGCGTCTCCTAAATCCATCCCAGCTCCTCCAGTAAATCCTTTATTTCAAATCCAGCAGGAGCTTAGGGAAAAATATCCAGACTTATCAGAAACAGAGCTTGTTATCAAAAGCATGGATTATATGAAACAACAATTCCTTCAATCCATGTTCAGTACAGATTCCAGCATGAAATCCACATCCAGTACTCAAAGCGAAGAAGACCGAGCTACAGCAGATCCATATGATGAAGATAATACTTTTACTGTTTTGGCGGGTGAATCTCAGAACCTGGAAGAAGAAGACCCGACTGGACCCAATTATGGAGATATTTGGGATTCGGTTACAAAAATGATTGCCGACAAATTACTGCATGACAAAAGCAAAGGTAAAAGCAAAGCATCATGATTTAGCCAACTTTTGTCTGCAATCAACTTTCCAGCTCCACAAGAAGACAAACAACTTTCGGTAAGAAAGGTACAGACGCATCAACTTTTGATAAAGCAAATACCCACTATCTGTTACCGATAATTTCAAATAAGAAGATAAGGATGCTCGACTGCACAACCATTCAGCACACGCCACCTATCTTCGTTATCTTTACTTTTGTAATATAAATTGGTAGCCTCTGGTCTGTGGAAGGCACCACGAAATTCTATTTTCTAAGTTTAATATTCTCTCTCCCTCTCAATTTCAAGTTTCAGGTTGTTTTCCCTTTGTAAAAGTTTGAAGTATTATAATAAAGTTTGCCGTTTTGGTTGGAAGTATTTCTTTTCTTATTTCTTATCTCTCATGAATGTCCATATATCAACTTGTTATATATAATGATATTTTAAACATCTGGGAAAATCGAAAACGTAATATTGAATATTATCTTACTATTTCCCGTAATGATCCTTGGTGTTTAGCACAACTAGAAGAGTGTAATAATAAAATTAATCAAGTCCAGGCTTTAATTAACGAACAAATTTGCTTCTTAGCAAGGGCCAATCGGCCTTTTCCTCCTCCAGAATCTTAATCCATGGACTATATATGGTATAATTAATTCTAAATAAAACACAACTATTTGTTATGTTATTCCTGGATTTGTGCCAGTGAGAGGTAGCATAGTGAGAGACTGAGTGGGACGTCACCCAAGTCGCGTAGCTCCAGTGTCCGTCAAGCGGTTAGCAGTAAGGACCTTGTGGTAGCATAAGTCGTTGACAGACGTGCTCCGTCTACCCCTGTGTAAGCACATCTTATTGGTATCAGAGCCATGTTTAATATTTTAAATAGTTTATTTTATTAATTATTAATTATTCATATATAGTCACATACATCAAAATGAGTACTGTTCCTACAGAGGAGAATACAGTAGCCCCTACAGTAGCTGAAACAGAAGCTTCTACTTCAGAAGCCAGAGAGCTTGTAGCTTACCAGGAAGTTAAAGAAGCCCTCGACAAATGGACAATCCCGAAAGTAGATCCAAAGGCCATTTATATACTTTTTAAGTGTATTTATGTTAGGTGCGTCTAAAAATTAAAAAAAAAAATTGCTTCAAATATTAAAAAAATTCAATGAAAACAAAAAAATACAGAAAATGAAAAAAGTAAAATTTTCTGAAAAATGAATTATGGAAATGGAAACCAAACAGAGTAAATAGTTCATTTTGAGGAATTCAACTTTTTTTTTGTAGTATAATTATTGCATTTTTAAAATAGGGTAAATTACACTGACACCCCCTTAGGTTTATGTTTAATACAGATACCCCCCTCACATTCGAGAAATTACATCCCCACCCTTGAGGTTAACAATTGCATTATAGAAACACCCCTGCCGTCATATGGCCGTTAAGGCCATCAAAAGAATCTTGATGACATCAGCCCAAACAAGTTTAATCGACTAAATTACCCTCTATGAGACCTGTAAGTTGGAAGCCGCTAATAAAAGGTAAA